AGAGAGAGAGAGAGAGAGAGAGAGAGCAAACGTGCAAACGATGAGGATAATGATTTCAGACGTGGTCGGCAACGGATTCGGCTTCGTGGACGGGGTCGACGGACCACCGAGGTACTCGATCCTGAATTATCAGCGGACGGCGAACGGGACGTACCACTGGACCGTCGTTGGGAATTACACGCGTAAGCTTCTCTCTCTCTCTCTCTCTCTCTCTCTCTCTCTCTCTCGTTTTGTGACAGCCAGTAAGTAAGAGTAAAGTCGATAGATAGATGTGTGAGAGAGAGAGAGAGAGAGAGAGAGAGACGAAGAGTAAAATGAAAGGGGCTCGCAGTGAACGAGGGAGGGGGAGCGGAGTTGCGGTTGGATCGGGAGAGGTTGCGATTTCGGGGCGAGCTGCTCCATCACGAGTTCCCCAACTCGTCGTGTTCCCGGCCGCAGTGCGGCTCGAATCGCATCGTCGTGAGGAGGAAGGAGGATCCGTGTTGCTGGACGTGCCAGAGCTGCGGCCTCTACCGGTACAAGGTGGACGAGCAGCGGTGCGCCGAGTGCAAGCCAGGCACCGTGCCGGCGAGGGGAAACGCCACCGCCGGCTGCGATCCCATCCCCGAGCAGTTTGTCGACTACTCGAATCCATGGGCGATCGTCGCGATGGCGATCGCGATTTTCGGTAATCAATCTGTCTGCTAGCAACGTGGTGGTGTTAGCCCGATTCCACGCTCGTTGGCGAATTCGTCGCGTTCGCAGGTATGACGCTGACCGGGTTCGTCTGCACGGTGTTTTGGATCTACCGGCGCACGCCGATCATCAAAGCGTCCGGTCGAGAGTTGTCCTTCTTGCTGCTGGTCGGCGCGTTCGGCTGCTTCTCCATGACGTTCGCCGTGGTGGCGAAGCCGAGCGTCGAGAGCTGCGCGGTGGTTCGCTTCGGCATCGGGTTTTGCTACACCGTCTGCTACGCCGCGCTCGCCACCAAGATCAATCGAATTCACAGGATATTCAACGGTGCCCCCGGCCGCCACAGTCCGCGCAAACGACGGTAAATTTTCGGAGATCGAGGCAGAATGAAGAGAGTTTGGTTTGCCTCGCGGACACGACACACAAACTTTTACTCTTTCTTTCGAATATTCTACACGACTACTACATAGTCGCACGCGAAGCACCAATGATGGCATGATGGGATGATGGTTCACGCAGGTTCACCAGTCCAAAGTCTCAGCTGACGATCGCGTCGATCCTGGTGCTGGCGGAGGTGCTGTTCGACGGTGGGTGGCTGCTGAAGGAACCACCGGCGATCGAGCACTCGTACCCGAGCCGAGAGGCGAACGTGCGTGTTTGCCGAGGCTCCGAGGACGGCTCCTACGTGATCGGTCTTCTCTATCCGTTCCTGTTGACGGGTGAGAGACGGCTTCTGAGATGACTCGCTTTGTTCTCAACTCAACGACGTTCGACGTTCCGTCCTCTGCTGGCTGTTCACAGTGGCGTCCACGTTCTACGCGGTCAAGACGAGAAAGTGTCCGGTGGGATTCAACGAGACCCGTTGCATCGCGTTCGCCAATTACGCGACCATCGTGCTCTGGCTGGCGTTCGTGCCCCTCTATCTAGCCTCGGCCAGCAGCAACGTCGTCAGGATCATCACGCTGGCGCTTTCGCTGTCGCTGAACGGGCTGGTGCAGCTGCTCTGTCTGTTTCTCCCAAAGGTTTACTTGGTGCTGGCGAAGCCGGAGAAGAACACGAGGAAGCTGGTGATGGCCAGACCCGCGGCAGGAGCAGGCTTCTCTCAGCCGACCACGCCCGTCACGCCTGCTACCCCGATCGCGCCCATCACCCCAGAGCCAATGTCCACGTCGCCCTCTTTCCTCGCCGATTGTCCATCCAAATTGTCCATCGATCGTTCTTCTTTCCTTCGATTCGATCAAATTTCTCTGTAACTCGTGACTCGTCGATAACTGGCGCTTCTCTCTCTCTCTCTCTCTCTCTCTCTCTCTCTCTTTGTGTCCTACTTGGATTTTCCGTTCGTCGAACGGACGAAACGAAATCGAGGGGCCAGGATCAAACCAAACGAAACGATTGGTGCGCTTATTGCGTTTATTTGTTCTCGCGTGTTCGAAACGACAAACACATGGAGATCGCATCCGATAACACATCCGGGAAAAAAATGCCTTAGAAAACTAAATCAACGTTCTTTCTTTCCGTTCTCTTCTAGCGTAAAGCGTTTGACGCTTTATTCTTTCGCTGGAAGAACTCGTCGACTCTTGAGGAGACGACGTTTAAAACGAGTCGTCTCGCTACGACTTATCCTAAGGTCAGCGACTTTTCTCTCTCTCTCTCTCTTTTCCTCGTCCTTTAAGAAACGGATGGAAAGGAAGAAAGAAAGAAAGAAAGAAAAAGAAAGTGGCAGACTGGCAGAGCGTAAAAGCAAACACGCGAGCTGGAGCTCGTGGATCGATGGTGGTCGCCGGGTCGTCGCTGACCTATACGAAGCTCGACCCCGTTACGCCACGAGCACGAGACTCGGCCGAGCTTCGCTCGAAAGGCCTTTCGTGGACGGAATGGCTGATAAGGATCGGCGCGGAAGGTCGCGCGACCATTAAGTACCGTACTTTTACAATTAACCTATACGACGCGTATGTGTCTATGTATGTATGTATGTATGTATGTGTATGTACATGTAGAGTTCGATTGTTGCGGTCGAGAAATCGAAAGTCGACGCTCAAAAGGAACTCTCGCGCTTCGTTCTGTGCTGAACGACTTCCGGACTGGGCGTCATCGCTGGATTGTCGTAAGCGTAATCGAGAGTGGTGTCCTCGCTCGGGTGTCTTCTCGACAGGGTGGTGGTAGTGGTGTTTGGCGTGGCGTTACTGGTTCCGCTTCCGCTTCCGCTTCCACTTCCACTTCCACTTCCACTCGCCACGTCGTTACCACGACCCGTGGTCGTCGTCGTCGTCGTCGTCGCCGCCGCCGCCGCCGCCGGCTCGTTCACCGAGTACCGAGAAGGAGCCACGCTGGCGCTTATCGTCGACATGGTGAGCTTGAGTCCATTGTGCCTGGACGTTGTGCCCGACTCTGCGTCCCGAAGCGACGGCTTGCCTCGATCGTTGTTATTCTCGACGACGTCGTTCGCGTTCGACATTCCCTGAAGAACAGAGACGATCAACTCCGTTCGAGCACCGAGAAGAAGCAATCTCACCACTAGAATCTCTTTCTTTCTCTCTGTGTTTCTCACCTTTCTCCGTTTCCCGGCGAAAGCTCGTCCCAGGGTGGTCCTCATCTTCTCCCATCGCGTAAACAACCTTTGCGCGAGCAGACAGAGACTCGCCAGAAGGGAGGAGAAAGCTACCGCGACGCAGATCGCGGCCAGGATCCACAGTCGTTCCACCTCCCCTACGGAATATATTTTCTCACTGGTTTGTGATCTTTCCTTTTTCTTTCTTTCTTTTTCCCCTCCCTCGCTTACCTCGCAAGTCCTCGTACTGTTTCAGAAGAACGTATCGTTTGTCGTGGAGGTACTCTGCAACAACAGGAGTTGTTC